GTTCAGAGCAATCTGCCGAAACCAAAAGACTCAACGACTGGACTCTTCTGCATAGACCCGAGCCGACGAAGGTGTACGAGATGTCAGAATTTGCCAGCACAAAGCAATCACACGTCTTGAATCGCTGTGCCTGTGCTTGTTCATGCTCGCCGCTTACAAAAACATGTTGAGAGAGAGAGAGAGAGACTCATCCGCACATTGCAAAAAACTTAAGCTGACTTCCTGTTGGCCACCTCTGAGACTTTCATTTCGTCTGAAAGGCAAGACTCAGCTCGAATTGTCGAAGTCGAAGTCGGCTGGGTGGTCGAGGCTTGTCGAAGTGCGAAGCGAATTTCAACCGATCATCGATGTGTTGTAAAGCGCTGAGCTCTGCCTGCCTTGACGTGCTAGAGGTGTTTCTAGAAACTTTGCGGGTTTGATATAAAAATGCATGGTAAGATTTTTGCAGCTTCTGGCATGCTCTGAATCCTCGTGGTTCTAACATGTATTTCAAGTCCAGGACTGCTCCAACCTTCCCATTGAAAGACATCTTGCTGCTTCTGCCTGATCTCCCTGCAATCCAAAAACTCTTGAACATCTCTGGTGCCGCTGAGCAAGCCGCAGTGGAACCTTTCTAGCAGGGCCAGAGGAGTTGCTTTCACTGCTATTCTCGAGCCGGGGCTGCAACGAGGTTGACATCTTGAAGAACGAGCTGAACAAATCTCATGACTCTCATGTCATGCTGACAGATAAAACCTTCGGGTGTAAGCCTTGCTCGTGCTCGTACTGCATCCACAGGCAAAGACAATGCTGAACAATCCTACACCATCCCCTCACGTGAAAGACAGCCCGACTTTTTCCTCGGAGCCTCATCTCCGAGAGATCTTGTAGCCACCACTGTATCAGGCAGCGCACTAAGGAAAAAGATGTTGGCATCTGACGCCGAGGAGGAAGCAGCACGACGGCAGCGAAATGCAAAAGATGTCCTGCATGGACGTGGATGGCCTCTAACGGCAAACCGTGCGAAGCTGCTCGCCTGCTCGGTTGACACATTATCCGGAGCATGGCGGGTGTCAGATCGAAGGCGTTGGCTCGTAGCCGCGATTCCTGGGGTTTTGTGAGCATGAATGGAGGGTCCCAGGTCCCTTCATGAGTATGCTATGGAACAGGTCCCCTAGTTTTCTGAACTCCCTGATCTTCTAGAGCTGAAGCTCATGTGAAACATGCTGCACCGTAGAACGAACCCGTCGATCCTGCCCTCTATGACTCTATGACAAATTGCCTTGCCCGGCTTTTGGAGGGAGTCGTAGAAGTAGGGATACTTCTTTGGTGGTCCATGCATTAAGTATCCCTCCGATTACATAACTGGTTGGCCCTTTAAAGCCTCTGGAAAATATTAGTAAATAGGGTCCTCTTAAGCCCAATAAGGGAAAATATAGAATATCCCAAAGGCCTACCTAGATAAGCTCTGTATCTGTTCCCTGAAACTGTGTGAGAATTTTTGGAAGACAGAGTTTCTATGTTCCACGCATTTTGCCGAAAGTCAGGGCCCCCGCAATTCGGATGTTTCGATGGAGCTCAAGTCTCCCGAGCTCTGGCAATCGACGATCCATCCACAAATTGAAGAAATCGTCACCAACAAACAAATAAACACACACACACACAGATGCACCACGCAAAACCATTTTATGTATATGAGAACATGAACACTCCATATTTCTTACATATACTTACCTTTCACCTCAGCCAACCCAATTCAACCTGACTGCTTTCTTCTTCTTATTCTTCAGCTCTCTCTCCGCCACTACAGGCTGCAGCTAAACCAAGGAAGGTGATGTGCGTTCACCTGGGCTGCAGACGGCCGCATGCAGCGCCCAGTTGCTGCCCGCACAGTGTTGGAAACCTTGGTCGAGCTCGAAGGACCTGAAGACTCCGGCATGGCATTTGTGAACTTTAAGCTCGTGGCGCCCTCGACCGCACCGATCACTGATCGAAGCGGCCAAGAGCCTCATGAAACATGCGGCCGCCAGGTCCGCTCCGTGATCAACAACATGGTGCCATCTCAATGTTTCCAAGGGACTGCCGAGTGAGTCTGCCAGCTGTCGTTCCAGCTGCCGCTCCTAACACTGCACTAGAATTGACACAGTGTGGATACATGGTTTATTGCCGAATCTCAAGAAGGCGGCCCGACCTTGACGGCTTGCTCTTGCAACCTTTCTGCCGCACGGCTGGCTGCTTCCTTCAGGCTGGCAGCATTTTCCTGGGCGGCTCCCGTCTCGGTGGCTCCGCTTGACTGTCCAGAGAATCTTCAGGTCGTGGCTTCAGCACGTGCCAGCTGGGCTTCCAAGTCCCGCACGCGGGCACGCCTCAAGGAAGTGGAGGAGGCACTGGACATGGGCTACATCTAATATGATCATGGTTCACATCCTCGGCATTTCGGCATCAACAGCAGCAGCTGCAGCACCAACGTCGTCGTCTTTGTCACCATCTTCTTCTTCTTCTGATCATCGTCACCATCACCATCATGCCAAGTACTGGTAGCTGTAGCTCTGGTCTCTGCCATCACTGCCACCGCAGCAGTAGTGGCAGTGGCGGTGGCGGCGGAGGCAACTCAAGGGCTCAGCAAACCCTAAAGTCGTTCAACGACCTTTCGGGAAAGAGCACGAATCTCAAAACCGCGAAGGCAACTCGAACAGCCGCAGAAGCTTCCGACTATCACTCAAAACGCATTACACAGTAAACATCATCATGCTTGGGTCAGTAACCATCATCATGCTTGGGCCATGGATACTCTGAACTCAAAAGCGCGAGTGCTGTAAATACCGGCATGTCCGACTGTCGAACAAAACGAAGGGGCACTGACATGCTTAAGAAACAGCCTCTCGACCAGCGCTGTTGCACTTTTTGACACCAAACATCCCAAATGCTGAACATTTTCCGTTGATCTCTGGTTATTGGACATGTTTTGGAATGCGCAAAATAACATGAAAATCACCTGTAAATACCGTCATTTTCGGCCGTTCGAACAACAGAAAAGGGTACAGAAACAGTGCAGTTTAAGAAAAGAGCCCTTCGACCAGCACAGTTGCACTTTATGACGCGTGAGAGCAAGAAGTGCTGGTAGTTTCAGGGTTTGTCACGCATGGTCTTCCCCTACCACTACCATTACCACTACCACCGCTACCACCAAAACTACCACTGCCACTACCACTGGACGACGACGACAACTACTACTGCTCCTACTAAGCGCCCGCGTACTGGTGCTAAGCTAGTGCTCGTACCAGTACTAGCACTAGGACTGGTGGTGGTGGTGGTGGTAGTGTGGGAGTAGGAGTGGGCGTAGGGATCGTGGCCGGAGTAGGAGAAGTAGCAGCAGTAGAAGTAGGAGTAGAGTCGTAGTGGTAGTGTTACAGTATCACATTATGTGACCTTAACGGAAACTGCCATCGTGAGTCCTGTAAGCAAGCATCCGTAGTCTTACTCGTAATCATGTCATATCTGTAAGCAAGCCCACAACCTCCACAGCACAATGCTTAGCGATTTGCAATTATGATTATTTCGGGCGGTCAGTGCACTACTTGCTTTAGTCGATGCTGCTGCAGTGTCTTCTTGTTACACAGCTACCTGTAGTTTCTCCCTGAACAAACAACTAACGTAGTTTCTACTACAGTGTGATCATGGTCAACTCTCTTGCCAGTGTTCCGTTCCTCCTTCCTGTCATTGTCGTGGCATGCTGCCGACCCTAGGGTTAAGCTCCCAATTCACACCTTGCCGTCCTTCTTGTCTGCTTGAGCGTCTGACGTGGCAGAGCCGTCCATGGCTTCACAAGCCTGGCACACCGATATGCTGTTGCGTAAAGAGTGTCTTGATATGCACAAGTGCAGCGACATTGGCTTCTGGTTCCTCAGCCAATCATGGCGGCCAACAAGCTTTCCGCAACTTCAAGGTGTCTCAAGGCCCCTTGCAATCTTTGCCGATCAATCAAACCTACTCAATCCTCCCCACCCGAGATCACAGCTCGCCTCACGGGCATCTGTAGAGCTGCGCTGTGCTTCCGCAAGCTGCGCCTGACGTTGGCATTGGGCTGTGTTCGGCATTCGTTGGACCAACACACCGAAACCCCGTTGCTGACACTGTATTGACGAGTTTTGGCAATAAAACAATGTGTTTAAGCATGAGGTTCAAGTTTAGACGACCAGAAACATCCAAAAACCTAGCAGAGATTCATTGCTAGCTTGGGTTGCGCTCCGGCGCAAGATTTTGTTCGCCTGCCATAATATGCACGGGCCCCACAACTCGGACGTCAGCAAATGCCGTGCATTTACTGAAAAAGCAGTCACAGCTACCCCAACCTAGGCAGATAAAGGATCGGCGAAGTTCAGTTGTCACATCGCACGGGTGTCTTGAGTGAGATGTCTGCTTTCTTTGCTTGCCTCCAGCTCAGCCACGCGACTGGCCAACAGCCTGGATCAAGACACTTGGACTGGCTCTGAATGACCCCCTACAGACACCCCTTAACCTAAGAAGCAGGCTTTTCAGCTGCTGCGCTGCCCAGGTCGCCGACACCTCCCGTGTCAGCCTGCCAAGCCAAACGAAACAAACACGCATGCACCGCATGGAGAATCCTCCCGTAGCTGTCGTAGATGTGCTGGAATGCTAGACTTTACGGCAAGCTCCAGCGTCTGCAGCGGTGCTCTTTTCCGCCAAGCCCTCAATCGGGTGCGGTTGGAGTCGCTGTTGCTGCTCTCCTTCTTCCTGCACATGCTCCGCAACATGACCAACATAAAGCTGTTTCAGAGACACGATATGGCTGAACGTGCCGGGCTCGGTCAGACAGTTGTCGTTAACTATCCGAACTATCCCTTCTTGCCATGCCTCAGGCGCCAGCGATGCCGTCCACCTTTTCGTTTCCTCCCAGGCATCAAAGGCGACTTGCAGTCGCACACCTTCGCAGAGACATCTCCACGAGGAACTGCGGAGCTACGACTTGCAGTCCGTGGCCTCTCCAGGAGCTGGCCAGTTGAAAGAAGACAGCTGTGCAGGAGACGCAGGGGTGCGCACTCACATACCTGCGTTGAACTCTTTGAGCAACCGAAGTCGCCTGAAACAAAAAACGTGGCTCAGGGCACAATCGAATGCCGCCTGCTGGTGGAATCGGAACGGGTCCTGCCGTTGCTGTCGGGGTGCCGCAGCCTACATGCTATACCTCGCACGCAAGTCATCGCGGTCCTGTGTCGCCATGATCCAAGTCGCCTAGAAGCAGCAACAGTGCCTGCTGCGAGCACTTCGGAAACGACATGCAGGGGACATGGCTTTAAAATCGAGTCATCTTGCACCAATGAATACGTATGCTTGATTATGCATACACGTACTCGTGACTGCAACACACGCACACACAAACAAAACACACACACACACACACATCCCCTATGCTCTCTGTCATTCATGGCACCCATGTTTTTGTCAGCCCTCCGTGGGCTGGTTGTGCTCACCACACTGTGTCACAGCGTGTGCGCCTGTACCAAAACCGTGTTAGCACGTGGAATTTGTGGCTGCGCAATTCTTGTGTGGATTGGGAAGGTCGGGGCTGGATCCTCGGGGCAGTCGCAATCCTGGGATCCACGCCCTCTCACGTCAGTGGATTGGGCATAGCTTTTCCGGGTTGTCCGGGGGATGGAGAGTAAGGTCCATGGCCCGCGTATCCCGCGCACAAGGGGCACTTGCCTGTCGCTCTGCGTGTTGGGAGCGATCATGATCTGCCAGGATTGGCGACCAGACATCCAGCGTTCCGCTCCTGAACAGCATCGTCACATCCCACGCAAGAAGCTGTGCCACAACCGGCAATGCACGCTTCCCACCTGTGACCCACGATGCGGCCAGCACTGGAGGATGATGGTAGCTGAAGGCTGAGCTGACTTTCCACCTTTGCATCAGACTCGAGAGCCGCCAAAGCTCAAAGATGTAAAGATGTCATGTTAGGCGCTCGACCCAAGCGGGAACCGACTTCGCTGCCAGGCTACACGACGCATCAAAGGTACCTCCCAGAACGGTCGGCCCTGGGCCCTGTGAAACCGAGGGCCCAAAACCTGCCTTCCATGCGGTGCAGTCGCCGCACGGCCAGCCGTCCTAATAACAATGATAATAGTGATTACATAGGTTAACATGTATATATGTAATATAATCATAAATACCTTTTGCTTCACAGCTTGGCAAGAAAGCCCATTAAGTCAGGGTCCTTGCGATGCGCAACCCAAGAACGCCGCCTTGCTGAGAAGCCCTGCGATCCCTGCACCCAAAGACGCCTGCCGTTGCAGCACCTCAAAACGTCACGCGATCAAGATCTTCTGGCCCTCGGCCTCCGTACATTTGCCTGGCTGAGGCAGCTGCGGCGTCCGCTGCAGGGCCAGGTGCCTCGCGCTGGCGCAGCTCTCGGAAGCGGATCCAGCAGCCCCGGAGCACCTCGCGAGTCTTCGATGCGCAGCACTTGGTGGAAAGACCGAGTCAGGTTCAGGGCGGTCAGGGCAGCCTGCAAAGCAAAGCAGAAGCAAGCTGAATTGATGCAATCACCAGTCGACATTGCGGTATCACCGTGACATTTCGCTGACGTGAAAGCTGTGCTGTGAGTCTTCCGGAGCTGTTGTCGAAACATAAAAACAGCTCAGAACTCCGGCTCTGCTCTACCCAAGAAGCACTTTGCGTTCGAGAACTGCAGCAGAATGTGCATCTAAGCCTCAGTCGGCAGGAGTGGAACCTTACCGCTGCAGGAAAAAATCTAGCTCTCAGGCGTGGGCGCCCATGAAGCTGCAATTTGTATGATGCCGTGGCTACGACCTGCCGACAACAAACCCAGCAAATCCAACTCGCAACACTGACAACGCGAAACACCATTGCAAGAAGCATCATCACGGCAGTTTGTGTTCGCACCTATGCCTAGGTGCCTCCGTCTTTTTTTGCATTCAGCACAAGCCTCACCTGCACCGCACTCTGGTGCTGTCTCAGGCTTGCACGCTGGGTTCCTCTGCCACGAGAGAGGCGGTGAGCAGTTCAAGCAACCATGAAGGCCTCACCGTCGCCGAAACCCATGCCACATCTAACTCCACCTGCTTACCTGAATCACGGGGGGGGGTACAAGATTGAGCGCCTGGCGTAGGAGCACCTTCGTTGAAAACCTCCATGGCGGCCTTTCGGATTAAAGGGTGCCAAAGCCAACGGCGAAAAACGAAGGCGCGAGGCTCAGGGTGGCAAGCCCTCACCGCCAGAGCCACTGGCATGTTCTTTCATTGCTTCTCTTTATGTCATGTGGCTCGATAAAACTCAAATCTGATGCCAGGAGTGACATTCCTTCTGGGATCAGGTGGGACAACCTGGAAACAGGAATGGGGAACCCGGAATCAGGCAAATCTGGCTCAGCTCTGCTTTTGACACGGCAAGTCCTCTCGACATGCGCAACGAGCCTGCAAAGCAATGTTGCCTCGATGCGGCGCGGCATGGCGCCGCGGTTCAAGGAAAAGCAGGAGTAAGAACCAGCACGCTGCTGGGAAGCTCTCAGCCCACGGCTTGTCTCTATACTCGCAGCCTGCATGTCCTGCGAGGTGCTAAGAGCCGCTAAGACTGTGCTATGCTTCACAGCGAAGCCTCACCTCAAGCAAGATCAGGGCCATGCCCCACGCGGCCGAGGCGGCTGAATTCAACCCGTTCAAGGCCGACCTCAGAGCCCGAAGGTCGGGCAGGAAAATCTGCGGATCTGAAATTGCAGGCCCGGGTTCCCGACCCATAAGACCGCATCGATGCAGGGAGACCATCAAATCTCGACACCTCAAAAAGCGAGGGCAATTCTGGACGTGTCAGGATATAAGCAAGATGCGTGCAGGGCTCCTGAAGCGCTTGCAATGCCCGAGCCCACTCGAAACCTGTCGCCGGCCCAGACAAAAAGATGCTTCACTGATTCACTCTCTCAGCTTCGTCGGACCGACCTTTGTCAAGGGAGCTCGTAAGCGAACTGTGCGCGGCAGCTCCTGCCGCTCTGTCACTCTCAGCACAAGTCGTGTTTGCCAGCCTGCTCTGCCGTGCCCAGCCCGTCTCCAAGACGCGTCGAGGCTTGCCGCGCGTTCCGAAGCAGCTCCTCGAAGTCTCGAAGCATCCGAGAGTGCCAACATGTGCCAACTGTGTCCCTCACCGTCTATAGTTTTCTCCTCAGCGCGCTGCCAAGGCTGGAAGGCGCCCTCCAGCCTAAGTTGACAATAGCTGCTTTGATCCACAAAAACACACCCCAAATCAAATCAATTGGCGTCAATTCTCACACGCTGGTGTGCACGGTTTAGAGCCTGCACGCGCTGCGCGCATAAGCCAAACGATGGCTTCGGCCGAAGTTGATTGCCGCATGCTGCTGCAAAACGCAGATCCTCGACAGCTGCTGCATCGTGCCAGTGATGTCAAAAAAGCCGGCAGAGTCTGGTAGAGGACAGTACGCTACCTTTCGTTGTCACTGTCAGCGACATCTTCCAGTTTGCTCAAGTCGACTTTCGGCTGCCCACGCTCGAAAGGCCGCTTCCTACTCGGGCATGTTTTGCCTACAGGTCCTCGGTCTTCGCAATGCGAGCCGGCAACAAAAGGAATCTTTCTGGGAGATCGAGGACAGCTTCACTTCTGTCGCGCTGGTCTGCAAGACTCTGAGCTGCTCTGAGCTGGGTGTCCCACTCTGCTTCTTTCAATCTGCCCGCAGCGCCGCAGGCAGTAGCGGTGGGCACGAGAACAATCTGGCCAAGGCGCGAGACTCTGGAGGCTTGGCATCGTCGTTTTTGGGCACCCTCCACTCACTGCGTGAAGCTTACATGGAAGAACTACAGACTACAGGTTTACCAAGCACATGATGGGAACAGGTCACTGCAGATTGAAAATTCTAAGTGCAGGAATCACCTGCAAGACAGCAGCTTCGCTGGAGTTGGGAATGCCTTCCTCTTAAAGGGAGCAAACTGACTCTAAGGACATGGGGCTCAATGTCCGCATCGGAAAAGTCCCCAGGCTGGTGCCCGCAGTGGTGCCTCTGCGAACGGACCTTCTCGACGATCTACGTTCTGTTGGAACAGGCATACGGAAGCAGAGAAAAACGTCGAGCTCACCAGATGCGGTCCTGGTGACCTCCACAGTGCCGCTGATCAGAGACCGCTTCTTGGGACTGAAGCGCATCTCAATTTTGCTGAAGGACAATACCGTCCGATCCAACTCGCCCTTTGCCTCAACCGCTAAAATATCATTCCATAGCTTCTGGAATCCATCCGTCACATCCTCTGGGAAAATATTCGTGAGCCGCATACCTGCCAACCATCCGATTGGGGCAGAGGCTCCATAAATCTGCATTGACGGAATGTCAAGCTCCAGCAATACCCATCGTGAATGAGATTTCTCGGGCGGTTGGGGAAACTGCTGGCCTGGAAGGCCCTCCTCGTCGAATGGCGAGGATCCCATGGAATCTTGTGAGGATGAAGGGGCCCAAGACTGCGATGCGGATGCAGAAGTCATCGGATCTTCGATGGCGTCGACCGCCTGCCCGGCGAGGCAACTTTGATCTGTGAAATCTCG